ATATCAGCGGGCTGGAACTGGCCAGAAGCGGATTCAACTAGCCCGTCACTGAGTGAGTTTTTTCAGTTAGTTTCAGTTCACTTGCCTTTCAAACTATCGTGCTGCGATGGAAATAAGATCTGCAACGTTTGACGTAACCAGCGGCAGCCTCACCCAGATACCCAAAGCCAAGCTATCCAATACCCATGGGCGTCGTCTGGAGACCTTTACTCCACAACATACCCTGCCCTGAGTCCGCCCTCAGCCCCCGGCCTGCACCGCCGTACCCTGGCGGCGCCCCTGCTCTGGCCCGTGCGGCCACGCCAGGCACGCTGTCTGGTATTCCGTGCTGCCCGCTGACGAGCGCCAGTCCAGTGCCGGGAGTGGGGACGGTCGGGACGGCGGTGGATGGGGTGCGCTCGGAGACGGTCACGCCGCCGACATGGGCCGTCCTGGTTCGTGAGGTCAAGGGTGCACCATGAACGACACCGGCCCGCCGCCGGTCCCGACGGCCGACGGTCTGGCGCAGTCGGCGCTGGCCAGCACCGACGCGTCGCGGCTGCTGGCTCTGGTGGCGCTGGCCGTGCTGGGACCGGCGCTGCACGCGCTGGCCGCTGGTCGGCTGGCGCGGCTGACCGCCGACCAGCAGGAGCTGGGCGCCGCGCGGCTGCTTCTCCTCCACACGGCGCTGGTCGGACTGCTGGCCAGCACGCTGCACGTGATCCCGCTGGCGCAGTGGTCGATGGGAGTGGGCTCGCTGGGTGAGACCACGTGTCGGCTCGGCCGGGCCGCCACCGATGCCCTATACGCCACGCAGAGTATCCTGCTGACCACGGGCCTGCTGACAGTGCTGACCCGGCCGCCCGGCCTGCTGCTGGCCGTCGTGCTGCTGGTCGTCTGGCTGCTGGGACCGGGACTCAACTTCGGCCACGTGCACTGGCGGGTGACAGCTGGGGCACCCTATGACGGCCCGTTCGTGGAGGGTGAGCATGTCGTGTATCGTGACAGTATCATCATTGATGAAGCTATTGCAGAAGCCGGTCGAGACTACGCGACTGCTGGAGATAAGTTCGCTAGCGTCACGGCCACCAGCGCACCCAGCACCACGGACCGCGCCGCAGCCGAGGCCGCGCGGGCCGCCGCGCTGGACTCAGCCATAGCGGCGGCTGTGGCTGCCGCCGGCGCAGTGTCGGCCCCTCCCGCCCCGCTGACGGGGTGTGAGGAGGAGGAGAGGGACGCGCCGCTCTGGTTCCAGAGCCGGGTGCAGGCGGCCACGGCGGCGGCGCCGCTGCTGCTGGCGCTGCCGCTGCTGCTGCTCAGCCGCCAGGAGCGGCTGCTGCCGCTGCTGGCCGTGGTCTCGGTGGTGCGCGTCGCCGGCTGCTGCGGGCAGCTGCTCCTGCTGGCGTTCGTCACCGGCCGGTCACCCGGCGGGCTGCTGGCCGGCTCAGCAGGCGCGCTGCGGGACGCTGGACTGCTGCTGGAGGCCGGCCTGCTGTTGGTGCTGTTCCGGCCGCCGCTTCCACCCCCAGCTGAGACGGCGCGGGTGGTGCAGCAGGAGCAGGGCACCGGCCCGTCCCCGCCGCGTGAACACCGGCGGCCGCTGCGGCCCCGGCCCCTCCCCAAACCGAACTCACTGCCCTGGCTGCGGCCCCGCACCGAGTCCAGCTCGTGGACCTTCTCGGAGACATGGTGAGGTGTGGCCGCAGAACGGGCCTTCATTAGAGACGTGGCGAGACGTGGTCGCCGAACGGACTGGCCGATTGGAACTGTGTTCGGTGCGAGCGGTCAGACCCGACCAAAACGGGCAACGTCCACGGCGGCCAGCCACACAAGGGTCGCTCTCCAAGCAGTATTTCGAACACTGGTGATGTGAGGGCCAGGGTAGAGTTCCACATATGGCCCGGCCCCGTGCAGTATTTCACACACAAGTGCTAAGGCGAGAGTCCTACAAAAGGGTCGTTACGAGGACGGCACTTGACATACACGTCGGAGCCGCACGCGAGGGTTTGTCCCGTGCTGTTGGCTCGGGTGCCTGTCCAGGACAGGAATCGACCTTCCAGTGCCGCGACAGCATACGAGCCTTGCGCGAGAGAACGAGAGTGACCGAACCGTGCCAGTATATCGCTGTGATCGGGGCTCGACGAACAATGGTCAACAGAGCCGGGGCATGGGTTGTAACAGGAGTTAATATCTGCTTTAGTTGTTTCAGTTTGTCACTGTTAGAAATATATCAAATAGCAGCTTTATGCCAGTCTTAGATATTTGGTACTCGTATTGCATGAACCACGCCTATCAGGAGGCATTGTTATAAATGTGCATAAGAAAAATGAGGCAGCGCTATTGATGCTTTCCCGAGAGCCACGGATATTGATCTTTGTCCCTTTGTTTGACCGTTTAATTAAGGTCAAAAGAAAATACGGAACGGTGAGACAGTCTTCCTCAGGGCTTCGTACTCATCGAATGTGCGTGCCGTTCTATGCGAAAATTGTGTTTAAGTTATGTTGTGCGGGGCATTGTGCTATGTGTTTCAGTTCTTTCAAGACAATATAGCCGTTCGATGAAGTGAGCAAGAGTCTTGCACTATAGCTTAACGAATGAAATATACACATCACATCAAAGCCAGCCCGTTTATGAGTGCGGTACGGACTCCGATTAGCCTCATCCGTAACTCGTCAGCGCGGGGCCTTTGAAGTCGTGTCCGACACTCGAGCACGGACACGGCGTTATTACCGAGCAGACCGCAGCGGTATCAGCGGGACAGTTGGCCGCCACTCAGGGGGCCATTTCCAACCGGGAACTCAGCCCACATGCACTTGACACCAGCGTCCGGCGCAAAATGTGTTCGTGCCGTACACCGATCGATGACAAAACACGAGGTCGGATTATGGCTGAATCCGCTTACGCTGACACACAGTTCGGACTTAGGCCGGCGCCATTTGGCCGGGCCGCGGCTCAGTGTGAAGGCCAGCCGGGCCGCCGGGGCCACCCACCGCTGTGCATATCGACCCTTACACGCTGTCCGCTACGAACGATACCGCTACTCCTTGTGCCACCTGGTGCCCAGAGCAGAGAACGGCCGTGGCGCACGTCTGCTGCTGGTTGAACTTTACGTAAATGGAGCACCGAGCTCGAAAATGACTGGACCCGCTTTCGCACTAAAAAACTTTCAGAATTTTAAAGTCCAATGTTGTTTTATGCCTTTTTCCAACTTCCCTCAATGATTTCACCCGAAAAAAAAAAACAGAGTCTTAAGTAAATCCCCAGACCACTAAGTCACTCTCGCGTTCCTCTCACTACTTCCCTAATTCCCCTCCTCCCTCCCTCCCTCCCCCCTCACTCACTCACTCACTCACTCACTCACTCACTCACTCACTCACTCACTCACTCACTCACTCACTCACTCACTCACTCACTCACTCACTCACTCACTCACTCACTCACTCACTCACTCACTCAGCTCTCTCCCTCTCGTCTCATTCTGCGGGCAGCTGATGGTTTCAGAAATGGACACGGACGGCGCATAGTAAACAGCCAGCAGACAAATGGACGCCAGGCTCGGGGTCACACGCACACTGAGCAAGACTGAACTGTTATCCGGTTTGTGGCGTCACGAACCGCCCACGGTGTGAACAAAACAGCCGAGCAAGAGTGAGTCGCTGCGGCTAGCTTGCAATGACGTGCACATTCGGGGTTCATAAGAGCCGTGTTCCAGTCATAAAATGGCATATCGACTGTTCCATTGGTTCTGAGTGAGTAGGTTCAGTTGGATTCTCATCGAATAACTGAAAGCCCACTTCATGATTCCCTCTCCAAACCAGTTATTCAGTTTGTAAAAGACATTAGGATCTTCCTGCCAGATCTGCATAATAGAAATGAGTTCAATGCCGTCGGGCGACAGAAACTTTACAGCGGCACTTGTGAGTGGCGCTCCCGGAGTCGTTCCTGAAATCGGTGCGATTCAGAGCCGTGGCTTGGCCGTGGCATTTTATCGACGGGCCGAGTCTGGCGGCGAATGTTACCCAGCTACCGGGGGCACTGACCTGTGCGGGCCCAGTCCGCTGCAGCGCAGTGCTTCATAAGCGACTGTATCCCGACATATTTCCCTTTGAACGGAACTACTTGCTGAACTTGTTCAACTCGCATAGAGGACATGAAAGCAATTTAAAAGCTATTTCATAGCAATACTAGCCGTTCATCATTGGATTTTGAGAAGGTCAAAAGGAATATAAATGCAGTGATCTTTAGTCCCAGATTCCATTTAGGCAGTCCTTTTGCCAGCACTATGAAAATGTACCTTAATCAAAGTCACGTCAAATCCTCGCCGTGCTGGAAAACTGATGTCGGTCCTCTAGCAACTTCTCTCTGAAAACTATAAGCTTTCAGCCCATGTACTCAGTGCTAAGCACACCGCTTACAAAGAGCTGGGTAACCGGTAATAATTTCCGTTCAGCAGAGTACTGAGGCTCTGTCTCCACTAATTTGTTCGATTCGTCCGCCGTGGCACGTCGCTCACGGGCTGTCCGCTGGACGGCTGCTCGTTAACCTGTCAGACCAAGACGTCAGGCGGCCTATGTGACTGTCAGCCGGGAATGAAGGTGAAGATCGGAAGGCCGCGACTCCCACTGGTGGGCGGCTAAGAAATGATACTGCCCAGGCGAACCATATCATCAAACGGTGCTGCGCCGACTGCTGACGTTTTACAGGCACAAAAACATGTTTGTCATGTTAGGAAATATAACAGGTATTCTTCGAACACGAATCAAATTGATGTTTGCCGAAATACATTAGTAATATTCCGCTCAAAGGGACCAACCGAGTAAAACTGCTGAAAACATAATGCAATGCTGGTCGTTGGAAAACTGAGCGGGTGAAAGGAGTGGCTCCAATGAGTGATGTGCCTACTGTATGTAATAATTGCGGCAGTCACGCAGCTGGTGTCACGCCGTCAGTTACCGAACGTTCAGTATGAGGCGGTAAATATCGGCTAATCTAATAACGTCCCACACCATGCAGTAACTCACCTGACATTGTTGTGTCGCTGCACGTGCAGATCATGAAACTGTTTCTTGGCCGTCTTGTCGGTGGCTCGCACGTCGGCCATTTTGACCATGATGCCGCGCTTGACCTCGGCGGCGATATAGGCCGGAATGACGCTCAGAAGAAGCTGCTCCTGTGGAGTGTCAGACGAGAACGGAGTGTGAGGCCCACATCTGTGATTGAGCTTCTTTAAAAGTTACGAGCCTTAACTCCAGCAGGCGCAAATATTGAATGAAGCTGGACAAGCGCGTGTCAAGTTCCTGAACGCCAGAAAGCTCGTTTCGAGACTCGATTAGATAAAAGTTCGTTTACTACAGGCAGAGTTTTTTTTTTTAGACAGCAGCTTTTCTCGAAAGCGTTTCACTCAGCTCCCTAATTCCCACTCCACTCCCGCCCCCAGGTCCACCTCTTATCTCATTGACGTAGCCCTCTCGGCCCCAGGGGCCATCCACACTCCAATCCAGCCATCCCTCACCTGGTGTTCCCTCTCACACTCCAGTTTCACCCTGGAGTCGATGCAGCGCCGGGTGGCCACCAGCGCTGCCATATGACCTGACCGGGTCATGTGGCGGTAGTAGTGGCCCACGCCGTGCGCGCAGGTCAGCAACACAGAGTCCACCAGGATCTGACAACGACGGAAACGAGAAAATACACGGCAGTGTGATAAGGCAGCAGAAGACATGAAACAGAAATGATTAGGCAGCAATAGCGCATGCTGTGGACAAAGATAATCGGTAGGCGGCAAGATGCCAGCCCAGTTGGTTTTTGGCGGCTACCGTAAACTATCAAATGTAAACAAACCGTTAACGATCGACAGCAGCTGCTGAAGATATACAAATGCAGCCTCTGTAGCTTTCCATTCAAACATGAGATATAACGCGTAAGATATAAATATAACTATATTCAACGTAGGAACACTTCTATACCTAATCTTACACAATTCCAGACCGACACATTTGTTTTACATTGTTCTTTGAAGTCCGTCGTCTGTCCAAATGGCTGGTTCACATATTGCCGTCATGTATTTTGCTTCCAGGCCATATTTACCAAGACATGCAATTTCCGATTAACATTGAAACGGAGGGAAATCTAAGAGACCATATGCTGTTTTACTCTTCTGCGTTTGTACGAGCTCAGTGATCCTCAAACATTTCTCATGAAACGTCCGGATTGCAAATGTCCGGGTGTCCGGATTGCAAATTTTATTGTCCTGAGGGGAACAGTAGAGCCCGGCTTTGTCAAAATAACTGTTAAGCTGATGGCCATGAGGAAGCACTTTAAAAATGACAACGTTTTATTTCTAGCAACCGTAAAATGGTTGCACGTTTTCCCGAATTCATCCTCTCTTTTCAAACCCATCGCCATCAGATGCTTCCCTCATCATCGTCCCTCAGCCCTAAGTCGCCTCTCCCCCTACCGTACCTATCGGCCCACCTCGCCCCTGTCTCTCCCCCTCCCCCACTGACCTGATGCCTCCCACAGGCGGTCTCCTCGGCCAGCCGGAACCCGGCGTACAGCAGTGAGGTGGCCAGCGCCTGGCCTCCGACCAGCAGCGTCGGCCCGGGCGCCATGGTGAGCTGGGCCAGCACCAGCAGACACACGGCAGCCAGCAGACGGCCGGCTGGCACGGCGCCGCCGGTCAGCGCCACCAGCAGACCGGCCAGCACGGCGGCGTGCGAGACCAGGCTGTTGGCCAGCACGGCGGAGGGAGAGGGCTGCCGCAGCAGCCAGCCGGCCGCCGACAATACCAGCAGCAGAACGCCCAGCGTCAGCAGCGTGGGCAGCAGCGTGACGTCGTCCTGGGGGAATGGGGAGGTCAGAGGTTACAGAGGCGTCAGCGGAACCAGCCCCAACTTTAGTAGAATACCCAGCGTCAGTAGTGCGGGCAGTAGAGTGACGTCGTCCTGGCACACATTAGAGGAGAAGAGAAGCACCACCATCAGCATCAGCAGTAACCAGCATTCTCGACGACAACAGGTAGTGAAACACGTAGCAACAATGTTTTACTCTGAAGAAAACAGGAGAGAATACGTTGGACGAAATTATGCCAGAAACTTGGGAAAAATGTGTCGACGGCATTAGTCGTGAGAGAATAATGCTAATCTGACGGTCGTTACGATGCGTGAGGAGAAAATATTGTTTCTAAACGTTCCTCTCCCGTCATTTGTGCCGCTGCAGGCTGAACGGCCTGGTGTCTTTGGCAGTGTCTTTGAAGACACAACTTTGACGCACTTCTGGAGTCCTCGCTTCTCGGCGTCGAGTTACCGTTTAATTTTGCGCGTGTTCGCAGGATGTCCGGGAAAGCTACCATTTGAGCTCCTCACGGCTATTTGGAAGAACGACAAATAGCCACGGGCGATCGCTCGGCGTTGACCAAAGTCAAGTGTGATGCCTGCCATTTAGGCTAGACCCTCCGGCCTCGGTATTTACATAAACATGTGCCTGGGCATAGATGCTGAAGGACTGAAACGTAAGTTGAAAAAAATCTCTTAGAATAAAAAATCTCTTGAATAAAATTTAGAACACAAAATATATTTCTCTAAAATTCAGGGCTGCGGAGTCGGAGTCGGAGTCGGAGTCGGAGTCGGAGTCGGTCGGAGTCGACAGTTGTGACCGGAGTCGGAGTCGGAGTTGGAGTCGATATTGGAAACCCCAGCCGGAGTCGGAGTCGGAGTCACGGAAAATCTGTCGACTCCGCAGCCCTGCCAGGTGTGCGGAGTCGGAGTCGGGAGTCGGAGTCGATCGGAGTCGACATTTCTGCCCGGAGTCGGAGTCGGAGTCGGAGTTGGTTTTTGAAAGCCGGAGTCGGAGTCGGAGTCGGAGTCGCCGTAAATCCATCGACTCCGCAGCCTTGCTCTAAATATTAGGTTAGATCCAGCTACATCTGCTGCAGAATAGGTATCGCTCCAGCAAAGGTTCAAGCTTATAGTGGTGATGTGGACATGCGTAAAGCTGAAAGAAGCTAATCATGGGCCTTGCCGTTGCGTTCGTTCAACATCACAGGGCCACGGCAGCTCAGGTCTTCAGTCTTCCCGGTCAAAATGAAAGCCAACATGGCTTGACTCACGTTACCATTTCGATCCAGTGAAACGAAATGCAATATAGCTCATAAATAAACCAAACGCCCACCTCGTATCTAGTGAAGCATATCGCCTACCGCACACGATAATTTTGCCACTAATTAGCGCGACGTCGAATGTAGTCATAAGCAGACCGGTTGAAAGAGACCCGCAGAGCCTAGGGGTGCGGTGCCGGACATTTCATGACAAATGCCAAGACCATCAAAGCTAGCAGCCACGGGCCGCTCATATACATGATCCCACTGAAATATGCGCGGTTGGCAGCGATGTTGGTGTGAGGATATGTTGGTGGGAGTTGCGGGGTATGACGGATATTTGATAACGCTTGCGTGCTAACGCTCCTCCGCCTTGCCTGCACGAGGAGAGTGGGTCTATTCAGCACCACTCGCCAATGAAACGTGCGGCTGACAGTAAATGCGCCGAGAGTTCCTAGCGAATTTTCTGGCTGATTTCAGCTGTCATATTCAGCCTTCCTAGAAGGCGTCTACGCTCAGATGTAAGGCAGACTATCTGGAAATGTGATGTATACCTCATCGGTACCTATGACTTACGAGTATACCTTGTTAAAATAAATCATCGACAACCACTTGCTTTCAGAGCATGCGGGCGGTTTGGGCATAGGTGCCAGCCTCAGTCGAATAAATTTGCCCAGCATGTATGTTGAGTAATGAGTGCGAAACTACTTGTTTTTTTTTTTCATCGGGAAACTAAACCGTTGACCTTAGGTCAAACCTGATGCCCTATCAGCGAAAGAACTTTCAAAAGGAGCAAGTAAATCAGCTTTCGCAGCACTGCAACTCTGTTCGTTCACGAAAACAAAACTGCGCCCATCTGTAAAAAAAAAATCGGGGAATTCGGACCCTCGATGACCTCTAGTGACCAAACCTTTGGCCTACCCTAAAAATGACCAGATATTTTTTGTTGAAGATAAGCTATGGCTAGTTTGAGCATTATTATGAATAGGTATTATGGTGTTAAAAAATGACCTTCTGCACAATGAAATTAGAGTGAAATAAGGCCAAACAAATATTATAAAAAAGTATACCTAATATTTTTGGTCTTATTTCACTCTCATTTCATTGAATCATGAGCATCAGGTCATTTTCTAACACCTAGAGATGTTTTTGGGTGATTTGTTACGCTCTCCCGAACACGGCTTACTGCCTATTATTATTACAGGAGCCGAGTTAGACTGGGGTTCTCAAATACTCCCCTCAGCAAGGCGTGGAAATCCACGAGACCAGCTGGTACGGGTTAATTATATAACTTTATCAAATTTAGGTGTTTAGAGCGCCAGCGCAGTAACCCAATTCAGATAAGCAGCTTGGTGCGAGTCTGCAAACACAATGATTATCCTCGCCGCGGCTTAGTTAACGTTACAAGTGAATAGTGCTCTATTTTGAAGCGAATAAATAATTGTTGTACGAGTACGTGTTCAAGCCAAGAACATCATAAAAGAACAATTACAGCATTGTGCATATCTTCAAACGTTTATAAGTTCAGGCACCGCTTGGAATGGAAAATTTAAGTACCATAACAAATATTGATTTTCACGAAAATATGATTCATATTTAAACGCTGTTGTGTTTTTTCGCTTTTAAACCATCAATTACCATTCACAGTTCACACCAAATAATCATTAAACCACGATTCATCCTGTGCATGAAATTAAGCTCGAGTTACAAAACGTTTAGAGGCTGGCTAAGCTCTACGTGGAAGCTTGATAACTTCTCTTCGCAGAATTAATGTCCTCCACACCAACACAGGCCATAACACAAGGGTAACGAGCGTCTTTAGATGGTCGCAGTTATTAACACAAAATTAACATAGAAGTAATAACGTGACATCAAGATCGCAGAATAGCCCAATGTTAAAAGCGATGGACTCCTCCACCGTATATAGTGCCACGTCTCGTCCTATCCCATCCCGTCTCATCCTGTCCCGTCCCGTCCGTCCCGTCCCGTCCCGTCCCGTCCCGTCCCGTCCCGTCCCGTCCCGTCCCGTCCCGTCCCGTCCCGTCCCGTCCCGTCCCGTCCCGTCCCGTCCCGTCCCGTCCGTCCCGTCCCGTCTCGTCTCGTCTCGTCTCGTCTCGTCTCGTCTCGTCTCGTCTCGTCTCGTCTCGTCTCGTCCCATCCCGTCTCGTCCCGTCCCATCTCACGATACATCCCACCGCCCAGCCTGAGCAGTGAGCAGTGAGCAGGCCATTAATCAGGTGGTCTGCGGGGCCGGCTCCTTCACCAGTGAGCGGGCGCCGTTTACTCCGCAGCCGAGAGCGCTCCCTCCGGACTGAGCGCGGCTATCTCGCCCCGACATCCGTCCCGAGGCTGATGAGCTCGGCAGTCAGCAGCAAACATCACCCACAGACGGAGACGAAATGTATGCACCCGATTCGCGGCAATCGCGCCTCTCCGAGCACGCGAGAAAAGCTTGATAAAGCGGCCCCGGCTAGAACGGAAATTAGGAGAGAGCTGGAGCCAGTGCACGCCACAAACTCATCACTGGTTGGTCGTCAACTTCCTAGCAGGCAGAGCGTGCGCAGAGGTCTGGTTCTTGTGCTGTTCCCCAGATGCGGTGAGTTCAATGTGATCGGAAAAATATAATGAGCAGTATCCATGCGGAATTTAATATGTAAAGAAGGAGATCGTATGCCGTATATTGGCGACCACAGGCCACAGATAGGCAAGTGTTTCATGTCAACGTCGATGTAATCTGATCGCCGCATGTAGAAAATCTGTTTGAAGGCATGACAACCGAATTGGAAGTGAAATAAATATTATTTCAGGTTTCCTTTCGTGACATGTCTTTTGTTCTCCATGGTCTATGCTTGTTACTATAATTGTTAAACAGCTATTTATAACTGGGGTTAGACACTGGGGTTGAAATAGGCACCGTGTTCCGTCCTTACTGGAATCAAGGCAAATAAGTACGCCTCGTTCAAAGGACCGTTTCAGTACCCACGAGCGCTACGACAAACCAAATTGAGGGAGCCCGATATTCAGCTCATCTGCAGTGCTATAGCCTATAGCTAATATAGGTAATAGGTATATATCGTAACGGGTATCGTGTAGAGCATAGGTATTATCGTATGGAAGCCACCAACTAGCCCGTAAGGTTTTCTTTGCACTGAAAATACAGGTAGGACAGAAAACATGCAGATATAAATAAATTTTAAACATCGATATACTCTCCAACGTACTAATAGTGTCCCAATGTCACGTCTACAACGTTCCTTCAGAATGTCCTTTGCATTTGCAAACAACCCGGATCGATCCGCTGTCACTCACGGCCACAAACACTTTTCAATGATTCAGCGCTCAATTAGCGAGTATCCCAAATCAATGCCAGGTCACCGTTCAAGCCACTGTCTACCTGCGGCTGAGTCACAAAGACACATTGTGAATAGCGTGCATGCATGGTATATGTGCATGTGTGTAGGCATCATGCCTATACTGCAATGGCAAGTCCTGCAGGTCTTGGCCAAGACTGAGCGGCAAAACAGATACATTAACCGCTGCATGCACCTGTCACTTATACCCGTAACCGATGTGTGGGTCAAAGTAAGCTGATGGCATCACTGTGTCTGTGTTACAAGACACTGATGACGCAGCACTTTCTGTATGTGGATCAGAATACATTGATCACGTTACCATATCCGTGTGTGAATCAGAGTTCACTGGTGACGTCACTTTTCTGGATGTGGATCAGTTACTGATGACGTCACCATACCTCGTCCTGTATGTGTTATATAATACACTGACGAATCACCATATAGCTGTGTGTATGTACGTAAAACAGAAAACGCTGATGACGGCACTGTACCTGTGTATGGAGCAGAGTAGGTACACTGATGACGTCACTGTACCTGTGTGTGGATCAGGATACACTTATGACGTCACTGTACCTGTGTATGGAGCAGCAGGACGCAGCTGAGCATGGAGGCGCCGGTGACACCCTGGTAGGTGACGAACAGCGTCAGTCTCAGCCGCGCCAGATAACGCGAGAACAGGGCGTCCATGTCCATCGCTGGGCGTCTAGAGGTCACCAGAGGTCACCAGAGGTCACCGGAGGTCAGCAGAGGCCACCATTGATCCAGATCCGAGCCTGAAATACAAGCTCCGGTTAGACGTTGTCGCCAACGTATATTTTGCAGCGGAAGTTAAAAAGAGTTACGAATTGAGAACGCATTGTTTGGTTGGTTGGACCTGCATTTACCGTCTGGGACTGTTGCTTCATTCAGCCTAAAAACATCGCCGCTCAATGTTACCCAGGGCACGACTCATTGCTCGTAGAAAAAGTTTCAAAGAATGAAATAAATATCTAACGCGTACCAATATTACATCTTTGTAAAAAGCGTAGCACAAAGATCGGCATAAAGGCCGAGGCTTCAACACATTTCCGATGAGTCATTCCATCCAGCCGACGCGACCCGAGCAAGAAATGAAAGCCTGAGTAGGTATCGATCGAAGGTTAGTTGCCGCAGTGAAGAAATGGAAGCACCGATACCACTTTGGTCGGCCGTGCGTTCCCTGAGAAGTTGTTGCGAGGCGCGCAACGTATAGCGCTTTTATTTCGGTGCAGATTCGAACCTTAAAGTAGCACAGTTTGCTAGAAAAGAAAATCCAAAACATATACGTCTTACTTACAACATAGAGCAAAGTTGCGATGGTCTGCACATAAAAGGCTGCACTAACAGGTCCCGTTTTTGCCGACTTTTGGATCATTGACCTGACCTGGAAGGTCAACCGATGACTTAGGACCTTAAATTTGGGTAACATCGGCTTCCTCTCGTCACGGGCAGCACGTACGTTTTTTTATGCGAAGCTCTAGCTCGATCACGGGCCAAACGCAAAGGGGTCGTACCCCCCCCCCCCCCCCCGTGCCGTAAAAGGGCGCAAAATGGCCTGTGCCGGCTAGGGTTAAAAACAAACACTTCAACTTTTAGCCTTGTCTCAAGCTCCTTTGGCGCTGTTGTTTTAAACTCGTAGCGCTGCAATAATTGTGCTTACTCGCAGCCTTTGATATAATGTCATTTGATATTGATATTGATAACGTAACCTTTGATATAATGTCATTGTTCGTGAAAGACGTGAATCGTGTATGCTTCGGGCTCGCTACAAGTACGCATCGACGATTGTCAGTCAGGAGAACAGTTGCTATTACATAAATCTTTGTACTTTTCTGCACCTATAGCTAAGTCGCAATCTAATCAATTGGAGCACAAAGGACGGTGCGATACACACATGTTCGTAAGTGTGCACGTAATCCACTTTCAATAAGAGGCTGGATTTAATTAAATAACATGTATAATGTCGCAGGTGTATGTCGCACAAAAGTCCTTCCCCTGCACAATACAGCGCCTGGCGATGTGTCTGGGTCTGACGTTTGATAACAACTTTCCGCGCGCACGTCCTACCCATGTCAAGATATGTGACATTTGCCCATGTCGTAGAACAATCGGACTCGTATCCAGTTCTTGGAACTCGTCGAGCAGTAGAGATGTCGTCCCCGTCCTTTTCAACAGTCTTACTCTCAGAGAGAGAGCAAAAAGCACACGTAAATGGCCGACTTCTCCAAGTACCTAATTAAACTCACATCTCTGACAGAGGCTTAGATGATGTTAGTATAATTCGGAAACCACTAGTTACATATGTGAAACAGTCCTTATCTCTGTTTTTTACGAATTGCATAGCTTCAGACATAGACCACTATATACAGATATATAGTGGTCTATGCTTCAGAATATGCAATAACCATTTGGACGCTTCTTTGTTCCATAGTTTGATGCGGGAACTACCGTTTTACTGCTACTCTCAGACAATACTCGTAAGTGATCAATATAAGGCACAACTTAAGCTATAAAACAAAATATAAGCATCAAAGTGTATAACAAAAGAAACACAAGCCACGGGCATTTAAAAAAAAAAACAGAAAGCAATGAGTAAAATGTCACAATCTTGGTCACAACGTGATTTTGTACCAGATGAGAGCGTCAGATAATTCAGGGAACATGTCATCCATGATCGGTGATCCAAACCAGCAGATCTTTCGCAGCGTCATAACGAGCGACAGTGAGCCCAGCGCGGCGCAACGACCGGAACATCACTGCCCCGATCGCTGACTTTGGCAAAGACGGGCGTCAGATTGGCAAAACTAGTGACGTCATCACGAGCTGCTATGGCTGACGCACGCGGCCCCATCGCTATCAAAATACGCACAGCCTATCCTGACAAACTGCGTAAATTTACGGGAGAGTTTAAAAACAGGCGGTAGGTTGCATACTATGACGATGGACAGGTAGCATAGATAAGATACACTAGTCGCGAACGTCATGCCATTTTTTCTGTCTTCAGAACTGGGGGTCTGTGTCCACCTTAACGCAATTTTAACGTAACGCCCACGTAGTAAGGAAAGCTATGCTAACTTGTCCATCGCTCGGTTGATGATTGCCCCTCCCTTTGTCAGCCAAGACTGGGGATGCCATTGTTTGTTTAGCCCCATCAGAGCAATTAAGTTTGAACATGGCGCTAATGTAAACGATAATTTTAACCAGACCAGTCACGTAATGGTGACCTTGATGTCAACCAAATCATGTGTCGGGTCACGGATTTTCAATAAGCTATTTTTTATTTATGCCACATTTTCGGATGTAAGAGGATAATTTGTGAAAGGAACCGGAGCCATAGAAGTGTTGGTCGCGTTCAAGAAAACGTCTTAGCTTATGCCTTCTATCGCAATATGCTCGTTCGTTATCCATTATCAATTCCTAACAAGCAATCTCACTGCTTCTTTTGTAGTCCAAATCACATTATTCCACGTTAATGGATTTTCCTTGATTTTTCCACTTATGCCGGATTCGTTTTATTCTGTCGTCTAAATCAGGCGCGACTGTGAGGGCAATGTGCAGACAGCTTCAATGGCGAGATTCGCATCACGTTTCAGCAGGTCCGGTACCGACGGCCCATATTACTGTGGCTGACATATGGTCAACAACAGCACACAGGAGCTGATTTCCACCGGCGCATACATCACTCGAGGCTCTCTGCAGATGCTCCAAAACACACTCCAAGCTCTCGGCTCGCCGAAAGCCGGCTCTCTGGCAGCGTAAATTTGCTATCGCAACATCAGCTCAGCCACAGCGGCAGGGCTTTAACGCCAGACAAGCTAGACTCGGGCCAATACAAGCATGAGAACGCCTTAGAAGGGTGCCTTCGGTTACCACGGGTATGCAACGATACACAAAAGGTTTACTGAATAACATGAAAAACGAGTTCCAAAAGATAAAAAGCCATGCTATGAAAATAATAGCCAAAAATACAAAGCAATTATAGTATAAACACCCAGAAAATTACTTGGGATGCTACGTCTACATACCCATGTGTGCCTTAGGAAAATGTCGCGATGTGTGCGCGTGTGTGTGTCCCGTGTGTATGTAGGAAATTAACTGCTGACCCAACGCCGACACACGCAATAAGGCAGCCTGTTTGCGGGTCGTCAATGTCCAATCAGGGGGTCTGACACAGCGCGAGCCGGTGGCTCGGTGACCTCGGGAGGGACGGCGACCGGCGACGGTCGTGTCGACGTTCCGTCAGACCCGAGTCTGGCAAGCCAAACACGCAACGCTCGAGCTGTCAGGCGGACACGTTAGTGGAAAAGTCGGTGCCGGCGGCCGGACGCGTCTCATTTCCCCGGCCACGAAAGCGGAGGCGGCTGAGCGCGACTGTTTAGAGTTGCCCCGGTCGTTCGTGTTCCCGTCGCTGATGGAGGTGCGGTGTTGGCGGGCACGCGGTCCGGGCAGTTGGCTGCCGATCGGTCTCGTCAGTCGCTGTCAGCGGCTGCCCGAGCGCGACTGTCAGCTACCTTAGCACGACTGTCAGCCCGTCAGCCGTTAGAGCACAGCCGTCAGATGGCCGGCAGGGTCCGTATGTCTGTCGTATTCAGCAGCCATGCTTGGAACGCACAAGCGAGCAGCGCAGCAGGGAAGTCCCATAATTCCAATTTCCACGCCAAACAATCTATGAAGACGCAACTTCGCGGACCTTTAGCTGCATTAGTTCAAGCTTTATTAAAATAACACTTTGTACAAGAATTTTAAAATACGGACAGCTTGGCATTTAATTACCTACCGATGGTGACTGGACTTTTAACCTGACCTAGAAGTTATCAAGCTTTTCCCAGGAATTTTGATGCTCTTTCGAACATACGGCTTACCGCTTGTCGCTATAGGCGTCACAGGACCGGCAATCCGCATGCATCAGCTACGGGTGTAAAAACGCCTCCCCCCTCTCCGCCTTGATTTATAAAAACGGAGCACCCTCGGGGGACTTAATGTCTTTCGGTGCGAGAAAAAATAAACAAATTCAATTTGAAACCGTCTTTCAACGCTCGACCTCTGCCTTGACCGGGTACTCTTACGAGTAGCTGTCTCCCGCCCTTCCCCTTCTTCTCAACGAATTAATGGAGCCCAAGGCACTGAACCCGTGGCAAAAAAGTCACATTGCAGCGCTAAGTGGGCGCAATGGAACTGAGCTGCTCAATTTAGCTTTGTATTGCGGTCATTTAAAACCAATGAAGGTCACAGTTAGTTACTTAGAAGTCCAGAAAGTCAGGAGCACCTGGGCACTCGGCAAAATTGACATCATGCTCACGCTCCTATACTGAGCTCGCAGATCTGGTAGTCCAGTATATAGCACTAAAGTGCGTTTACAAGTGATCGATGAGAAGAGCTCTACTTAATTGCTGCCAATATCGCCACTACATTACTAAATAATACTGTTCGCCCTAAAAGCTTTCAAGGGATTCGTCAATCACCGGATAAACATAGCAACAACTATCTATCATTATCTCGTTAATATTACCACAAATAAATATATCAACGTCAAACGGACATTACATACTGTGTGGTGTAACCATGTAAAAAATAACATGCGCAATATCACGAGTAGCCTGTAGACTGCATCAATCTAATCACATTTGCATCAAGCCGAACAAATCACCGACGTCTTAAAAAAGCTCTATCCTTGAGGTCGTCGCCCCACGCGCCGTTCTTTTCCGGTCAAAGTCGGGAGCGGGTCGGGATGGATGTCGGCGATTCGTCGGAGCCACTGCACTCGCAGATCGGAGTCGGACCCGCATCTCATCGTGTGCCGCTCGGCTAGAGATCAGTCCCCGATCGGTGTCAGACGTATGGGGCTCCACTCGGGCGAGTCCGCATGCAGAGACGGATCGGACGATGATAGCCGTTTTCACGACGGCCATCTGGTACACATTTGGTGCACATCTGGTGCAGATTAAGTGCAGATTTGGTCAAATTAGGTTCAGTGTGTCGCTTGGTAGCTATCAGCTAGGGTTGCACTATTTGCTTATATGCCTGCTTTGTCATATTATCAGAGAGTATCATCGGTTGAAACACTGAAATAAATTCATAAAATAAAGATGTTTGCTGTAAAAGAGATTAGGTGCAGATTTGGTCAAATTAGGTGCACTCGCCGAAAAGCCCGTCGTGAAAACGGCTGATAGCATTTTCCACGGCGAAAATCTGTTGCAGTTTGCCGTTGTCTAACACAAATTCAGAATTTTTAACGCACACGCCATTTTTATGATTAAAGCAAAGACTTCCTATGCGCTAAACCGCTTTGTGTATATTCTGATATGGGCACAATGCCGTTTTGAAACGTCTTTATTGTGAAACACAAGCAAAGTTAGCTTCTTTGTCAGAGAAAGGTCAGACTTTTCAAACAGCTGTAGAGTTAGATTGTCTGGAGCTTGCTAAAGAAAAGGCGACCGTTTGACCTAACTTGTTCAAGAACTTAACATGGCATTCTTCAAGACTCAAGTCATTTGCATATCTCTGTATAACTTTATATCGGGTCTGAGGCTAAATTAATTTAATGTTTTGATAATAAAATCGAGCACAAAGGTGAAAGGTGAAATAATGCATTATACTTCTTGTACTTCACTAACTATTTAATGAAGTCCATTTGATACTTTCCAAACGCGATAAACTGTGCCTTTAACCAGTCATGTCTGTGCATGACAGTGCAAGACAGCCGTCGGTATCTAGGAAGTAAGAACTGTGAAATTATGAATCATGAAAAAGCCATATTACACTTGAGAGCCAGAATATCTTTAGAGGCGACGAGATGACACGTTTCGCAAAGACAGAAACCGTCAATGATTGACCTCGTTCCTATTAGAGTTCTGCACGGCTGCAATTTTCCACAGCCTAGCCGCCCCGCAGCCATGGCTCCACAGCCACAGCCGCCCACAGCCGTGGCAAACTGTGGGCAGCCAGCCGTCAGCCGGCCGTGGATACTTTCAATGAAATGCAACCAAATAGTATATAATAAGTTGTTTTTAGTTGAAACATATAGCCAAAAGCACATTGCAATCGGCTATAGATTCTCAAGCTCATGAAGCATCATAGGTTAAGTGGTTGTGTATCTGGCTTTAGGCCGAAGGCCTGAAGCCTGATGCGCAACGCATGCCTATTGCCTACACAAGCCCTTGCAAGGGGTTAAGAAAGATGGGTAGGTACCTAGGTACCTACAACAACAGAAACAATAAACAACGAACCAGAATAGAAGCACTAGCAGTGTAGACATCTAATGCCAAATCCTGAAGCATGGTTGTGGGACAGAACAACAGACCATGATGCTTTTCATTATCAATGTTAGGTATGGAAAATGAAACTCAAGTTGATGGACTGTCAAACAGAGATTGTCTAGTCAAAACTCTTGCTTCTTTCTTACCTTGCATATTTTCTGGGGTGTGATATGCCAGACTTGAAGCAGCCTTCTGGGCAAGTCTCAAACTAATTTGATATGCAAGGCATCAAAACACTAGTGAGCATCCAAGAAAGAAAAACATTCTTCTATTTTGATTTTTCCAAATAATGATCTTCGCTCAAATCCCCCAAGGACGTGCGAGCCACAATTACCTCTTTTAATCAAAAATTTTACTTGAGTTTTTAATGACGTCAATAGCAAAGAAGTGGCAATAAATTGTTTTGTGTCACTATAAACAGCCATAAAAATTATAATTAATAAATAATAATGCTACGTAGTCAAAAACTTGCTTTCAAATAAAGAGTAAGTATCAAATTTATACATTTTCAGAAGAAGACGTCATTTTATTAGTAAAGTCAACAGCTCGCGTAAGAAATATTGTGTTCAGGGTTTTCACCGTCATGTGAATTACGTGTTCAGGGTTTTCACCATCATGTGAATTAACCGTAAGTAAGGTTCATGTTCACTTATAATCTAATTCCATTGGCTTATTTGATCAGCATTTTCTGTTAGCGGTCACTCACACACCAGTTAGAACATAAAGCGCCAGTTTTATATTATGTAATTGGACTTGCCGAAAATCCAGAAATACATCTAAGAGTTATGTTAGATAATATTTTATGAAGCCTTTACCTGCCTTTACCTAGGCGTGATTTCTTTTTCTATTACCTGAAAGAATTATTGAACGCTCATCTTCAATAGCTGTAAGGTGCTCTCCTAATGACCAGGTGAGATTGATTTGAGAGGGATGTGACAATGCAACATGCTGCATTTTCTGAAACTGTCAAGCTCTTGATGATGAAGGAACAATTGGTACCTATAATTAGTATTCTGTACCAGAGTGCAAACTCCCCTACAACAAATGGTAAAACCATTACAGGTTTTCAAAGGCTTCACCACTTTCAATGTTGCTGGGCATCCTTTGCATGATTTTTACAGGCTAGACTGCTTATCAGAATGTGAGATTAAGGATTTAAAATTTTATATTGGAGTACTTAAGATTGAGCTTGAAATCTCACAGCCGTGGCCACAGCCGTAGCCGTGTTCTTGGAGATATTTGCAGCCGCCCCGGCCCACAGCCGTGGGGCTGCAGCCAGCCGCGGCTGCAGCCGGCCGGTGCAGACCTCTAGTTCCTATCATCACCACGTGCCACCAAAGTGCGATGCAGCCCATCCATGGAGCCGAGCCAGGCCACAAAGCCATCCGTTCCGGCCTAAAACAGAGCTGACCGGCTGCATCGGACGGGCACGCTTCAGCAAGCGTGGCACCGACCTGCGATGGCCTGGATTATCACGGGAAGGCCCCAATCTCGGCCATCACACCTGGAGACCTTCTAGATCGGTTCAGCGGGCACCAGTTTCCAAGAAAGCCTTCTGTCTGCATGGCAGTCGAAAGTCATCCGTGCTCAGCCAAAATGAAAGAACGCATTTTAAGTGTAGATGCCTAGAGGATGTCAAGAATGTCATGAATAAGTGAAAAGTAAAGAATAGTAGGCAATAAGCATGTCTTCCAGTGATACCGGGCTCGTGACGAACAGCTGAAACCTAAATCGTCAGTTAAAAATTATTTACTGGATTTGTGATATGGCACGTATGAGAAGGGAGCTTACCTTACAATGTCTAATTTTTACGCACTCTTCTCGTGTATTATTCGAAAATGGTAGAAATAGTTGCGCAATTTTAGGCAAAGTCGCATTTTATCCTTCAATTGTTATAATGCCTAATTGACAGAATACGATACGTTGAGCTTGATCTAACAAAGATAAACATTTTGCCCAAATTACACCTCATTCAGCACACTCCCCGTGTCACTGTCACTCACCTCAGTCGGTCGTCTGCCGGTCCCTCCGCGCGCCCAGCCCTCTCCTGACCGCCGCTCCGTCACTCGCCCGAGGGCACACCTCAGCCGTCGGCCGGTACCTCCACACCGCCTCGGGGCACGGCAACAAGTGATAGCCGCCGGCGGTGCGAGTCGGCCGGCCGGCGCCGACGAGACCCCCCCCCCGCCCGCTGACCCGCCCCCCTCCCCGGAGACACAGGTCAGGGACGGGCGGAAGGTTGGCACTACGGAAGTGTGCATGGAGACGTGAGGCAGTTCGGGACTGGGGAATGCGAATTGAATGCAGCTCCGGGGAAGAAATGGCTGAAGTGAACAGTTCTGCTGACGTTCTGTGACGATAGCTGAAACACTCTGCATTCTGCAAGTTCCCTGACATATTGAATGGAATAGATGATTTATTTAGCCATTGCACTGTAAATGCGACATACGAAAAAGCTAATTAGTATGCATCATTTGCTACTTATGCCATTCCTACCTATCCTATTGCCTACGCCTGTAAATTCATCTGCACTAGGATGGAGCTGAGATGCTTCGAACAGTCAGGTAGTTAAAAATGTCTTGAAATGGTTTTCTGGTGGATCAGAAGCGTGGTTCCACGAAAAAGTATACTTAAAGATATTATACAAATTATAAAAGGCATAAAACAAAGCTCTCATATTAACCGAAAAAAAAAATCAAAAAAGTAAAACAAAACAGTAACACAGTATCGGGAGCCTGGTTTTGTGACTTTATCAACCGTTAGGTGACCGATAAGTGATTGATAATGGCACAAAGCCGAAAGCTCCCGATACCGTATTTCGCTTTTTTTGTTTTTATCTTTTCGACTAAAATGAGAGAAGGGTTATTGCCTACCTTTTGTTATTTGAGAGCTAGAAGCTCCATGAAAATACCTAATATTTTCCTTGGAAGACAATCTTCGTTTTCACTCTGAAGATGCCGTGAGGCGCTTTGTCTTTTAAACCTATTCTCAATTCTGCCTTCTAAACCAATTACATAATGCACATTGCACAGGCCACAAACAACGCTCACCTAACGCAACGCCTCCTGTCCTTTGACCTCCGGTAGTCCTTTGGACCGGACCTGCACTGGCTGGTGTAACACAGACAAGGGTTGCTCATAGGCACCGCAAAGAAAACACTAAACTCATCGCCTCCTCCGGCGTCGCGACGGCACCGTTTGTCCATGTCCGGTGTTATACACATCGTGAGTCATAAATTACCGCGCAACATTGAAACAATAAACATACAAGCACGTCTCCTTCTCTCTCTTGGCTACATGAGTAACTATGATGATGATAACGGAATATACGCGACTTGCGAGCTTAAGTTTGGTTAGCCGGCCCATGGGGAAATGCAGACTCTTATATCCAGTATCTTTAGGTCGTCTGCGAGCAGCATTGAGTAAATAAAAGTGCTTGACAAATTTCAAACCCGTGCCGGGAGAAAGTAATCGTTTGACTTCAAATGAGCTGACTAAAAATGACCGTTAATTATTAAGAAAAAAAAAACTAGTTATGTTCTGTTGCGTTCAATTGTGCTAGCGAACTATTGAGACCATTCTAAAGCCGTGGAATGAAAGGATGGATTCATTGAGCTGATTGGGATTCGATCACCGACTGTTGCGCCGCAGCAGTTGAGCCCATAGAGATCTTATATACATAGAGATGACACGCCTATGTTAAAGCACTTGATTTCGTGGCGATTCAGTGGGTCTTTTTAAGCAAGGTTTTCTGGGGTGCCATGGCCCGTGACTTGCATTTTGTAAGGATTCGGTCAAGGAGATTGTGTTCACATCCGCTTATTTTTAAGTACAGCTTTTCTTTTTTGTCTAGCTGTGACGCTTTCGAGCGTTATTATTGAAATGAAATTAGGCATGTTTTAACCTTATGCTCGTATCAGGCACTACATGTATCATTTACCCTCGGCCCTCGCCGGCCGACGGGGGGGGGGGGGGGGGTGCCGCCCCCATAGGGTTTTTCACGATAGCTCCGAACACGCCGGCGATAGAGAGCTGAAACTTGGCATACCTACCTGACCTTTGATCCAAGCCGCATTTTGTGACACCAACCGCATTTTCAGGTCAGGTCAGGTCACTGACCTGTGACGTCATAAGTGAACCTCTGCACAGTCCTCAGATGTCGCAACTTCGCAACGCCGTCAGTGCCAGAGGAACTTTCACAGGGAGATGAAACTTACATACAGGATGTAGTATCCTCCAGAGGTCTCACAGCTTGTATATCACGGATTTTCCCTAAAAATCACATGAGGTCAGGTCGGCCACGTGACCTCACCAATAATCACCATTAGGTATAACTCAATGGGGAAAAATGAAAACTGCTATGTTAGCGCCGAGAACTATCTCAAACTGTCTCCAGCACATGGAATCGTGATTTCTTGCACGCCTTGCAACGTCCGATTCTTCACTTTTGCATTGTTGACATTGCGTGACGTCATTTATGGTCACTTGGGTCATTAGAGTTTTTCATCAATAACTCCCCATCAAATTGAGTTAGCGAGTCGGGAAGGCCACCAAAAAAAAAAAAAAAAACTCAGGAAGACCTGCCGATTCGAGTAATATGTAACATGACCTCTTTCAATCATCTTCGTGATCTGGGGGCGCTGACCTGCCCTTGACCCGAGCCCCGAGGCCTCAAGTTGACCTCACCCGAACAAAAAGTATACCATTCGACGCGCCTGAGCGAGGTGAACACGAGGATGCCAAAATCGCGGCTCTCCGACCGTTTTTTGCGAAGTTATGAAAAACTGAACCCTTGCCCTTGGTCACTTGACCTGACCTCAGAAGGCACCGGTTGACCTGAGACCTTAAAATCGGGTTCGCTGCGTCTTGCAACGGCGCACGCGCTTGTTTTTTTTCCGCGACGCTCTAGCTTGAAGCTTCATCAGGGCCGAAATGGCGAGGGAAATCGTACCCCCCCCCTCGGACGGCGCGTATGTAGAAAACCAATAGGTCCGGGGAGGGTTAATGTATCATTGAATGGGAACATGTAACATATGTATATTTGAGCTTGCACCGTGCTCAGAAAGGTTCAGAACAGCCGATTTCACGACGGTTGACCGAAAGCGCCAAACTTGACCAAATCTCAAGAAACCTACCCTGAAAATTCCATGAACCTGACCCAAATGACCTTAGACCTGTGACCTTTTTTGGGGGAACCATGTCGAGGGGCCATAAAACATGCATAGCACAACCCAAGTAAAGTTGGGTTCATGTGCTGACCCTTGGTGACCTGACCTGTGACCTGACATGGTATTATCAGTGACCTCTAATAGCAACATATATACATACCAGTAAAACGCCTTTTGGGCGAAGAACGAGCGAGCGAGATAGTGAGCCCTGCACGTGCGGAAGGGCGACAGGGTACACTGAAAAAATTTTTTACTCAGGCCAGGCATTACTCAGTAATAACTCATGAAGAAACTCAGTGAATACGATAGTGGTGCTCACTTATTGGCTGATCTAACTCACATCACCAGGGTGACTTCGTTATGCGTGAGTTCTGAGTGCTTAGTTTCGTGAATTCGAACTGAGTCGGAAATGAGTTTTGCTTGGGCAAATCTAGTTTCCTGCGCAATGCATGAGTTCTCGCGAATTCACGTGCAGTTGTGCGTGAGGTACCCCCGGCTTGAAGATGCGCGCATGCGCGGCAGGGTGAGTTTCCTGCGTGATGCGTGAGTTCGCGTGATGAGTATTATAGCCGTTGCGTTCGAAAACCGCGGCGCGCGCTTCAGTCCGTTGTGGCGCGGTGACTCGCGTAGTTCACGTTGAATTGTTGAGGCTATTGTGAAATTGTGCGGGAGAGTGCAGGAGCGGGGAAGGCGTGCAGCGAAGGATGGGACGAGTAAGTTATCTGTGAAGAGCTCGGTGATTGTCGATGAAGCTTTTATCAATCGCATGCGCCGCGGAGAACAGGGAGGTGAACTGATGGACCAGCAGACATTCCCCGCCGGCGTCAGGAGGTCGGTGCCAACCGTGAACGGCGGAGCAGATCGATCGAGAAACTGAGGGATACCTACCCGGCATAGTTCGAAAAAGAAGAGGTGAGTTATGTTATATTTAAATTTAACCCTTGCATGTGTGCGGCGTTTTCCAGCTTCTAATGTGTAGGGGGGGGGGGTCGGTTGGACCCCCCCTTGCCGTTTGGCCCCTGATCGAGCTAGAGCTTCGCGGAAAAAACGAGCGTGTTGCCCGTGACGAGAGGAAGCCGATGATACCCAATTTTCAGGTCCTAGGTCATTGGTTGACCTTCCAGGTCAGGTCAATGACCCAAAGTCGGGAAAATCGGGACCTATTAGAAAGTCGTAAAGTGTGGCTGCTAAGGGGTTTTTCGGGGTACTGATCACGAATATCGTGTTAGTTTTGATCACAGATGATGTCTTTAAGCATTTAGACCAGGTCGGGTCAGGTCAGGTCAGGTCAATCAGTAGGCGTCGTGACGGGTATTCGTAGTACGTGTCAACCGCCTCTGACAGCTTCGTAACATGTTACGAAGGCAACAAAACTACTTCGTAAATGTTCAAATGGTTGTTAAATTCGAATTCAGCTCCAAAAACTAGCCTAGAAACATGTAAAACTCGAAAAAGTGAACCGAGGTCACCCGAGGTCACCAAAGGTCAATGACCTGACCTGACCTTCAGGTGACCTTGACACCCACCCTAATGCATGGGAGCAACATCAAATCACATGTTTGAACGTTTGAAACCACGAAAAGCTTGCAAACGCGCGGCTAATGCGAGCCGACATACTCCGAATCGCGATTCCGGCCAAACATGGTCTCGGAAAAGAGGTCACAGGTCAAAGGTCATTTGGGTCAGGGTCATGAAAGTTTCAGGGTAGGTGTAAAATTGATCAATGCGATGGTACTGAAAGTTTCGTCGCGATCAGCCGCTTTTTACGCGAGTTATTCGCGAAAAACCATGGGGAAAGGGGGTCCATCCGACCCCCCCCCCCCCTACACATGCGAGGGTTAAAAAAAACATGTTTGTGGGATAATGTTGTCCTTATCCTAAAAGAACGTTCATTTGACCCTTTTTACTTCTTTAAACAAGAACTCCGTCACGACCCGATTTTTTTTTTTTTGGGGGGGGGGGGGCGAAGGTTGTTTGAAGTCGATCCTTTCCATGCAGCA